CACCCCAACCGGTCGCAGCAGATGGCCGCCCCTCCCTGAGCCTGGTTCTGCCGGAGGTTTCTTCCTGTTAAAAGGGAGTTTTTCCTTCCCACTGTCGCCACTGGTTTTTCTCTGTATCTATGAAGCGCCTTGAGGCGACTTTTGTTGTGATTTCTATAAATAAAATTGAATTGAATTGAATAGATGGACCCTGATTGTTTAAGACCTTGTATGTGAGGAGCACATGAAATGGATGAACTGTGAGAGGCTGCAGTAAGGTCCAGTATGTGAGCAGTAAGAATTCAGTAAGAATTAGTGATGCGCGAATCATGAACGAATCGTTCACTACTCGAGAATCACTTTACTGACTCATGAATCATGATTCAAAAGCCCAACTGACTCACTCACTCATCCCTGTTGCTGTTAGCAAACTAATTTCATTAGTAGAGATATATTTAGCTTATAATAAAAATTGTGGAGAAAAACACAACATCCAGTATCTTAACAAAAACATTTCTGCTCTGAACTGGAAGAAAAAACCCTGAGTAGGAGCTCACATCAAGACAATAGCTAGAATAGCTAGACAGTAGCATCGCTTTGCTAACATGCTAACAGCACATTTGAGCTACTCACCCCCTCCTTTCCTGTGCTGAATCATAGCGCGAACGAATCCCTCATGCGCTCACCCGCTCCCTCCTGGTTCACCGCTTCTTGTTCTTCTTCTTGGTTGGTAACCAATGTTAAGGCACATTACCACCCCCTGGCTCACAGCTTAGTGGATATTTAGATGAGAAAATAGATATTTGACACATTTAGGGAAAATTCTAATAAAATAAAAATAAACAAAAAAATGTTCCCTTTAGAAATTTTTTTTGCTCCTTTTTTTTCTTCATAAAATAGTTGTTTTCTTTTAGAATCACTCATCTTAGCAGTAGGATATACATGAAAAGAGAAGCAAATTAAGTTTGAGTGAAACTAAATTTTTTGCACTCTCTGGTCAACTGACTCAGTGACGCAAATGACTCAAAAAACCCGATTCACTTTGGTGAGTGACTTATTAAAACTCGATTCAGTAAAACGAATCAAAATTACCATCACTAGTAAGAATTATTTTGAATTATCGTAGCTATTTAAATTGGGAAAATGACAAAGAGCACTGTAAGCCTCTGCCAGCAGGTCAGACATTTGATTTAATTGTAAAAGGTGCAACATATGAAAAATATATTTTTCTTTTCTTTTTCTAGACTGAGTATTCCTGATCTCTCAGAGAGAGGCTGTGAAGCTCTGTCCTTAGTTCTCAGCTGCCACTCCTCAAGTCTGAGAGAACTAGACCTGAGTTTCAATGACCTGCAAGCTTCAGGAATGAAGCTTCTCTCTGCTGCAGTGGAGAGTCCATGGTGTACACTGGAAATGCTCAGGTAAGTTTAAGTAATATTCAGAACTCTTTAAGAATAAACACAGTCAATTAAAATTCTAAGAAAATCAAGGTAATCTTTTTTGATTTGTTGTTGTATTCGAATATTTTTCATTGTTAGTGTGACAAATTTACAGCATGTTGCAACATCTCTTTAATATATGACAAAAAAGACTCTTAAATGTCTTCTTTTTCCACAGACTGCATCTCTGTAACCTCTCAGAGAGAAGCGATGAAGCTCTGTCCTCAATTCTCAGCTCCCAATCTTCCAGTCTGATAGAGCTGGACCTGAGTAACAACAACTTGCATGATTCAGCAGTAAAGCTACTGACTGCTGGATTTAGGGCTCCACACTGTAAAGTGAATACTTTGAGGTCAGATCAAAGGATATTGTGTTTTCATCAGTTGGCAGATTTAACCAATAAGAATATACTATGCTACTAACATATACCTTAGATTGGCAGCAATGAAATAACACCCAAAGCAGGAGAGGATTTTCTGGTGCCTCCCCCTCCAAACACACACACACACACACACACACACACACACACACACACACACACACACACACACCCTTTCTGACTTTTGTTTTTATTTGTTTATTAGGGTCCATGTCAATACTGGTAGCCTAAGGCTACCCGGACACCACGGACATTGCACTGTTGGTCCAACTCATCCAGGATGACACATCAATATGTGGCATTGACAGAAGGTTTACTGTGTCTCCCAGCACATTCTCAAGAGCATGTAGGAGATTCTGGGAGACAGGGAGTTGGACAGGGCTGTAGACCATCCTTAAGCAATCAGCGGGACTAACAAAGTCAGAAAGGAGGGGAAAAATATAACTGGTTTCCACCCATAAAACCATCCCTGTTTTGGGCAAGGCACCTGCTAATTTTATTTGGACAAAACCAGCTTAAACTGGTCTTCTCTTTTCTACAAACAAGAATGAGCATTACCAGAGCTACAAAATAACTTCCACCAGACTACTGGTGTTAATGAGTCTGAGCAAACAATCATAAAAAAGACTTCATCATGGTGGTATGAGGGCCTGATATCCTTTAGTGGGCCCGCCCCTCACTGCCTGGCATGTGAAATCCAATCCAATCCAATTTGCATTTGCCATAAACTACCAGAATTTAGCCACCACTGTACTGAATACCATCTTGATAAGTGTATATTTTTCTTTTTTTTAGCAGTGTATTTTAGCTAATAAACCTCATTTTTTCTTGTATCTTAGTAAGGTATGAATGATTCCTGAAAAGACAGAATTAAGTATTGTTACATGTAATAACTATTCAGTGCACCCTCAGTTCACTTCAGCAACAATGTTTGTTTAATGTTTATCTTTCATTTTCAGACTTAGTCACTGCAAGTTCTCAGAGAGAGGCTATGACGCTCTGTTCTCAGTTCTCAGCTCCCACTCATGTAGTCTGAGACAGCTGGACCTGAGTAACTGTGATCTGGAGGTTTCAGTGAAGTTTCTGTCTGCTGGAGTCAAGAGTCTACACTGTAAAATGGAAACTCTCAGGTCAGGATTTACGTTTGTCCACTGATGATCATTTCAAACCCGATCCTAATCACTGTATAAACAGTAACTTAATATAAACATCTTGAACATCATCCACTGAAAATGGCGACTATGTGGACCAAGCATGGTCCACATAGTCGCCCCCGGAGATGAATCATTCCCCTCATCACCAGACTCTGCTTCCTCCATGGAAGATGTCCCTTCAGGTGTCATTAGTATTGGTACTTTTTTTTTTCTTCCATGTATTTATTGAGTTTTATACTTTACACGGACACCATCATTAAATAAAACAAAACCAACAGAACAGAACAAACCAGACAAACCAAACAACCTGGCTCAAGAATACAGATAAATGAATAGAAAATCCAGACACTTTGATTATGAGATACAATTAACGATACACGTATGTAAAATAGCAGTGACGTGCTTGTATTATACCAGGGCCTGTAAGAAAATAGCAGAAATATCCAAACCGGCATAAATGGGCCCCATATTTTATGAAACTTTTTGTCCCTACTTTGTAACTTGCATTTTAGCAAATTAGTGACACATATTTCAGTACTGTCCGGTGCAATTTAGTCTTAGATGGGGCCGTGTTCTTGATCTAGTTCAAAAGGACACCTTTTCTTGCAAAGAACATTAACAGTACATAGAGCTGCGTTCCAAACTACCACCCGATTTTGTCATTTGCCAATCCAAGTAGCATGCGCAATGGATTGCATTCAGTGTCAGTGGTGAAGATCTTATCCAGTTCACACTTTATGACAGGGGTGGCCAACTCCAGGCCTCGAGAGCCGGTGTCCTTTAGGTTTTAGGTGTGTCCTTGATCCAACACAGCTGATTCAAATGGCTAAATGATCTCCTCAACATGTCTTGAAGTTCTCCAGAGGCCTGGTAATGAACTAATCATTTGATTCAGGTGTGTTTATCCAGGGTGAGATCAAAAACCTGCAGGATGCCGGCTCTTGAGGCCTGGAGTTGGCCACCCCTGCTTTATGACAAACCAAAATTGTTGCATTTTCCGGCAGGACCATAGACAGTGCATGAGGTTGCCCATTTCTATTTTACATTTAGGGCACAGTTTACTTTATTACAGACGCTCAGAGATTTAGCATTCTCTCAGACTTCATTCCATGCCTCGTCACTAATCTCTATATGTAATTCCTTTTCTCAAGTCCTCTTTAAATAAGTTGTGTCCTTGAGCCCAAATTCTTTTAACAGGCCACAACAAATTTTCATAGACGTTCTAAGATTTGGCTGAAATATCTGCTTTTCATAGTTAAAGACCGTTTGTTTATTAAGTATTTTTGTAGCTCTTTGGTTATGGTCCCTTACTTGTAAATATCTAAAGAAGTCGCGCCTATCAATGTTTTATTTATTAATTAGCTGGTCAAAAGATATAAGGTTGGCCCTGTCAATTAAGTCAGAAAAGATAGAAATACGATTCGCAGCACAGTTCCGAAAGCCAGGGTCAGTGGTCCCAGTCAAAAAAGGAGGATAATCAGATGAGGGAGTAAAAAGAGATGTTAAGTGAGACCTTCCTTCTAGTTTTTGAATCATTCGCCAAACTCTGAAAGTAGATAATGTGAGTGGGTTGTTACAGAACATCTTTAAGGTCTTAACTTTTCCCACAAAAAGCAAATTTTTCAAACGGAAATTGGACATAGAGCTCACAATATCCAACCAGACAGGAGCGTGCTGTTGTACCCAATTGGCAACTACACCCATATGGGCTCAGCTGATACCTCCTTATATCCGCCATTACCTGCCCAAAACCGGAAGTGACATCATTTTCGCTGAAATGTTTTGGTTTTCTTTTACCTTCCAGGCCTTATAAGCCTATACTGGTGTTTTTAAAAGTTATGTTGGATTTTATGATTTTCTGTATTGTTTCTGGGATGCTTAGAACTCAAATTGCACTGCTGGAAGTAGTTTATTTTAATGCACATGCTGTTTTTTGCAAATTTGTAATTATTATTTTTTATTCAAAAATAAAACTGTGAAGACACTCAAAACAGATTTCCTGTGGTGGGAAACTATTTTGTGCAACATTTTTGTATTTACAGTTTTGAGGGATAAGCCTCTAAAATTTCTCTAACTAGAAATATATATATTAAAAATACAAAAATGATTTTCAATTTTTTGTAGTTTATTGCACTTTTTTGCAATTTATGTAATTACCATTCACTTAATACATACATATTATTAAAATTTGGGCTATAATGGTTGTATTGATGAATAGCAACTTGAAATGCTCCCAAAAATGGCACTACAGCATGTAAAAGTATAATATAAGCTCTGGCGGACTTGGTTCTATGGTAGGTCTTAAAAGGTTAATAGTTTCAACCAGAGAGGGGATTGACATTTTCGGCCGAGTCAACACAACAGCATTCAGAGTAATCTTATGCTATCTTTGTCCTATGGACAGACCATTTGTGTCTGCCTGAGCTTGTACTGCCTCTGCCAGTGGCTCTATGCAAAGAGGGACAGCCTTGTCTGGTTCCCTTCAGTATCTGGAGTACCGCACCCCATTTGTGAAAACTGCAGAGCAGGGATTGTTATAAAGTAACTTAATCCAGTTTTGATGTACTGATGTATAGCAACTGGAAATGCTCCCAAAAAAAGCACTGCAGCACGTAAAAATAGAAAGATAAGCTCTGGCGGTCTTGGTTTTAAGGTAGGTCTTGAAGGGGTTAAAAGAGTCATTGTAATTGTTCAACAGGGGGCCAGCTAAAATTTCTCCAAATTCTTTATAAAAATTGGCAGTCCAGTCCCACTATGTTGCCAACCTTCAGCTATGTAATGGCATCTAATACCTCCTGTTTTGATACAGGAGAGTCCAGTTTGAGGTTCTGGTCTTCAGACAACTTGGGAAGGTTAAGAGGGGTGAAAAATACATCCAATAGGTCTGCTGTATTTGTCTGAATCTGTGATGCATAGAACTTTCTAAATATAATATTACTCCTTCTGTTGTCAAAAAACTGTTTTCCATTTACATCTTTAATTGAAGTGATGTTCTAAAAGTCTAATTTCTTCTCAGTCAGGTATTCTAAGTATTTCCCAGGTTTGTCACTATGTTCATAGACCCTTTGCCTAGCAAATCTAATTTTAGTTATTGTATCTTTTGTCAGTAGACAGTCTAATGCTGAATGTAGAGTGTAGTATGTTTTTTTTTAAGATTATCTCCTTCTGTGTGTTTTACCTTGGATTCCAAAACCTTCTTCTGCTTTGCTTGTCTACGCTTTTTATCTTTAGTATATGAAACCAGCTTTCTTTGTGTTAGCTCATTTTGTCAAACCAGCTAACACAAAGAATGCCTGGCTATGCTGGACTTGGTGTGGAAGCAGCTCCCAGTGTGAGTTCAGGAGACCGACACCCTCTCTACTTTGAAGATCATCCTTTAACTTTCCTTTTTGATAAAGCTTAAAGTTGGAGCTGGATCAGGTGACCCCGAACCATCCCTTAGTTACGCTGCTATAGGCTGAGGCTGTTGGTGGACTTCCCATGATGCTCTGCTTTCTTCTCCCCTCTTTTCACTCCTGATGTCACTACTGCATGTGCTTAACTTTTGTCTTCTCTCCCCTTAGTTTGTGTTTTGTTCTTGTCTCTCTGAGCTCATCTCTTCTCTTTCCCCTTACCCTGCAACCAGTCATGGTAGATGCTCCTCCTGGAGCCTGTTTTCACTGGGAGGATCTTTGTGTCAAAGGGAGTTCTTCTTCCCACCATCACCAAGTGCTGCTCACAGTGGATTGTCTGATGTTTGGGGCTTTCTCTCTAATATTGGAGGCTGTTACTTTACACTGTTAAACAGCTTCAGATGACTGTTGTTGTCTGTTGGGAATTGTCATTTTTAAATAAAGTTACATTGAATGGATGTAAATGGATAGATGTTATTGTGACAAAGAGAAAATGATTGTTGACAGATGGATTGTTGTTTTGTGTGTCTGCAGTCTGTCAGGCTGTCTGATCACAGAGGAAGGTTGTACTTCTCTGGCCTCAGCTCTGAGCTTCAACCCCTCCCATCTGAGAGAGCTGGACCTGAGCTACAATCATCCAGGTGACTCAGGAATGAAGCTGCTGTCGGCTGGACTGAAGGATCCAGGCTGGAGACTGGACACTCTCAGGTATGGAGAGAATGTCTGATAGAGGCGGAAGAGCTGGAATCATTTCCTGTGTCCTTCACTCACTTCCTCTTTGTTTCCTGCAGATGATACATAAACAATCACACATGCAGGAACATTTTCAGGGACAGACACAGTAGTCTAACTGGATAGTACATGGACATTTATGTAGGGGTTCTCCAAGGAGTCTAGTTGCAGGAACATTAACCCTTTCATGCATGAATTATGATAACCTCAATCAGGATATTTTTTCTTCAGGATTTTTATTCATCTTAAGGCATGAAAGGCATTCTCCTTCTCCGAGCTACTCCCTCCGGACTGTGTTTATTTTTAGTCTAAGAAGGGCGGTCAATGATTTTGTCCTTTTCAAGGTTTTGAAGACCAGCTATAACTTTCTTTTTGTAGCTGCTTGTGGCGTCTCACTTTAAGGCTTCGCACGTATTGTTGTCACTGAGGAGAGTAGTGATCTTTGTCTGGTAATCTGTTGTGTTTAGAACCACTGTGCACCTTCTTTTGTTCTTTTGTTTTGCTGGTAATACAGTGATGTTGTGGTCTTTGCAGAAATGAGGCAGGTCAAATCTTGGATTTCACACATGTGCAGTACTGGAACGTAATTTTTTTGGCCATTTCAATGTGGACGCACAACTCTGTGAAAACGACTGAAAACGCTGGTGGGGACGTGGAGCATTTTCAGACAAAAATGGTATTTTAAAATCTGTCTGGGCTAGTGTGGACGTAGTCTTAGGGTGCCCATCAACTTTTCATCAGTTTGTGCTGGTGTTAATTCCCACTCTTAAGCAAATAATTGATCAACTGAAAAATCATTTGATATCCTCCCATCTCACTTTGTCAAGGATGGTTTTGATGTAATTGGGACCAGTATCTTATCCTTAATGAATTTATCACTGTCTTCTGGCTGGCTTCAAGCGGTATTACAGCCCATCCTAAAAAAATGTAACCTTGATATTAAGGACCTTGCAAATTGTAGGCCGATTTCCAAACTTCCATTCTTGTCAAAACATTGGAGAAGATAGTCTTCTTGCAGATGCAGGCCTATTTGGATGCAAATAATATCTGCAATAAATTCCAGTCTGGCTTTAAACCATGCCCTAGCACTGAATCAGCGCTGCTGAGAGTCCTTAATGACCTTTTTTTATTTGCCGACTCGGTGCTCTAAAGATTTAGTTCTATTGGACTTGGCTTCTTCTTTTGATATGGTGGACCATAATATGCTCTTAACGAGGCTTGAAGATACACTTGGCATAAGGGGTAGTGCCTTTAACTGATTTAGATGGTATCTTTTGAATAGGTCATACTCCGTCACCATTGGTGGCTGCTCATCTTTTCTTGCTTCCTTCTACTGCACTGTTACAAAAAACATCGTAAAACAACGGTAATCTTCCGGCAGCTGGGGTGCCATAAATAATAACTGTCCCATAAAAATATGGTTATTTTCAGTAATGAAAATAGAGTTTGTTGCGCTAATTTGACATGGGATTCTGCCTTTTACAAGTGCTTTTAGACATTAAATTAGGAACATTTTTACGCAATCAAACAATGAAATTACCTATAAACAAGGTCACTGAATGTGGAAATATGAATCATAATACGTAAATGTACAGAAATATACAGTTAACAGTTGATTTGAATAATAATTGATTGCATGCCCTGGGACAGACTGACAGAGGCGAGGCTGCCATATTGCACCATTGGCCCCTTTGGCCATCACTAGTAGGCGGTAGGTGAAGAGTCCTGACCACGGACACAACGACGGAGAGTGTCCGAGCCGGGGCTCGAACCAGCAATCTTCTGATCACAAGGCGAACTGCCAACTCTTGAGCCACGAACGGCCTAACTAGCAGCGATAATAATACTTATCTGATGTAACACAAGCTTATAGGGATCATGTTATATACTTTTCCATAGCATTACATTTGAATTCGATCTTTCAAATAACGGACAGATATTTGTGAAATCATGATACATTTGTGAATGTATTTTAACAATCTAAATATGCATATGTACAGACAGATACATTTAATAATCATGACAGTTATGTTGTATTACATTACAGTGATTTAACGTTAATTTACATTCAAAATGTGAAGTCAAAGTCTATTTACGTAACTTTAATGATATTCTAGAAGAACAGAACATTACTGTAAAATGCACAGTAAAATACCTTCATATTAGGGTTTTTTTCCTACGG